TATCCGACATGAGCATCTATCTTCTCTGAGATATCGAGAAAGTTATCCGAGTTATACATGTCTATATCCGCAAAAGTTGCGCAAGATGCGACATGTTGAATAGAGTTATGCTCGAGAACTACATTCGAAATAGCCGTTTTCAAGAAAATCATAAAAGATTAAATTTTCCACAAGAAAATATTGTTTGAAAATAATTAGAAGATGGATAATACATAAAAATAACAGGAATGTGGCATATAATATACAAATGTTTAAATAACTTCGTAAAAAAATCTAGTAGATTTTTTACATAAATTCTTTAAATGTATCTTTTACAGACGTCTTTTAGATTTCTATGTTACTTGAATAACAGAATTTCATGTTAATAAAATTCACAGACTTCTATGTATAATATACTAGACTGCTAACAGCGATGTGACAGGTGAAGCCAGGGCAGCCATTATAATTATTACTTATTTATAACAATTAAATAAAATATACATGTATTTTATAATATATATAGTATGTATATACAGGGTGTCCGACAAGTAAGTGACCAAACGAAAAGTGGAGGTAGATTGGGTCAAACTGAAAAGAAAAGTCCTGTACCATTTTGCGATTTTCGTAATAATTATTGAGAAATTAATTAAAAAAGATTAATCAATTCGCGCGAGTATAAGCGTGCAGCGAGAAGAGTCAACCTAAAAGTAAGTGCGCGACAAAGTTTTGGGAAGAGCGCTCTATAAATGATAACAGTTACGTATGAGCGGTACATAATGATGGATTCTCGCGTCCTCGCAACCACATATCAATGCCGCCCATATCAGGCCGTTCTTTCTCATTGCGCGGTAATACTCGCGCGAATTGGCCTATCTTTTTAAATTAATTTCTCAATAATTATTACGAAAATCGCAAAATTCCGAGTCTCTGGACCATGAAAATAATTATTTGCAGTAAAATGTTCATTACAGATTGTAGCATATTTGCTGAGAGTCCAATTTTGTCTTTTTATCGCATTCAACTATACTCCGTCCAAAGAAAGAATAACATCGGTCTGCGCATAGGCGGGCAAAATGGGGAGAACATGGCGACATACTCAATACCGTATACGTAGATACGGCTTCTGTGGGTGGAGACCTGCGCGAAACGGACGAGTTTTCGTCCGACCCGATGTTATTCTCTCTTTGGACGGAGTATAGGCTGTCAATCAGTTTTTGTCTTTGAAGGAAAAGTTGCAATATTTCATATGAAAGTGTTGATTTATAAATATTTGATGCATATTTAATAACACATAGAAATAGTTAATTTCTAAAAAAATAAGAGATATGTTATATGTACAACAGGTTATATGTACTTACTGAAAAATATTGATATTTCTTTAGAATATCTATTTAGACAGCCAAGTATGCTACAAATCATTGGCATTTTTATTCTTATATGTGCACTATATATACACTTGATATTTTTAGTTTATTTTTATTTTTTTTTAATATTTTAAACGTATACGTTTAAAAAATGAATAAATTACATTTGAATGACATGAATCGATCGAATATCGAATTCTTATCGATATTCTGCCCAATTGTAAATGACTGCCTTGGCTTCGCATCTTCTTATATAAAATATAGCCGTGTTAGCCGTATAGTATATTATATAGAAGTCCGTAATAAAATTCAATAAAAAGAATACACATCTTTCTATAAAAATGCAAAGAGAACATTTAGAAGATGTGTAACATCGGTGAAGATAATCGCAACGAAGATGACGAAACAGGTCCAAGATGACGGTATCCTCGATCGAACATTCGAAAGCGAGAGACGTTGCATCGATGACCTGGAATGCGGGACCAGAATTCGGTGACAGAACAGACCAGGATAGCTTTTTTGTGTCTTGCGATATGTCTTAGCTTCGCGTTCGATGATACCTGTCGTGTCGTTGAAATACCGTCTCCGATCTCAGATTATTGTCAGCGAAATGATAGATAGAAATCAGAAATTTCTCATACAATGCATGAAATATCTTGACAATTTTTATACAATACTATTGCTGATAGCATTCACTGAATCCATACATTCCACAATTATAAATTAGTAAGAGAATACGTTTTTTAAATCTAATATTTAATTAATATATTAATTAATTTAATAATTAAATTTAAAGAAAAAATAAATATTACGTTATCGGTTAAATTTGACAAATCTAGAGTAGAAATAGAATAAGTCTGAAAGTTACCAGATTTATTTTAATTCCATCTATATCGCAGATTTAGATATTTGTAAATCCGAAATGCATATCTCTAAAGTGGAGCTTATTAATTATGTATCTATTCCATTTTTATTCTAAATTTCTGAATTATCTTGCATAATATAAATCACGCATGAGAAGTATCAAATTTTAAACGATCTTTGATCAAATATTGTGATATCGTTGATATCAATGATGGAAATATGCAAATTTTATTTTATTTTGGTCTTTTAATTTGGCCTTGTCTATCTCATCGCTTTCCAAATAAGAAGACGTTGCTAAAAGCGATACATACACATGCTGCGAAGATTGGAAAGACGCATTTAATATTCCGGGTGGGTTCCTGTCTTTCGTAGGTAGTGATATTATGTAAATTGAAACCGCTTGTGAAGTGTCGTTTATAGAGAGATTATAAAATTGCGTGATATCACTATCTGTGTGATACACTTGTAATGATTTACTTATTCGTAGTTTCACTAAAAATGAGAGAAAAAGCGCGTTATGTGTATATAAATATATGTATATGTGCGTGTAGGATGAAATACATTTCGTGCGTTTCTGAAAAGAGTCAACGTGAAAAGCGTACATCAGCAATGGGGAAGTGAATTAGAAAGAAGCGCGCGCACACGTAGCAGAACAATAGACAATAGACGGAACGAAAGAGTAGACGTAAGCGTAGATGCTCGCACATGCGCTCTCCTTTGACAGAGCTCTTGATATAATTACAAAATCTATTACAGTCTAATAGCAGAGCGCGACTGTTTACCGATCATTCTCGGAAAACGCTAGTCTAAACTGATACATGTGATAATAAATAGTCGAAACCGAATAACCAATGACACCTTTGTTTCAGGGATCAGAATGCGGTGGATTGGTTATGTGGCCACGATTCTCTGGTGGTCGGGCATCGCCAGGTCTCTCAGCACGCTGAATCGAGGTCACAGTCAGTAATATGTCTTTTGGTGATTTAAGCACGCTTCTTGTCGGTATCCACGGCATCTCTCTGTAGTCTTCTGTGTGTCTTCTCTTCTCTCGTCTCTTCTCTTCTCATTTTTTCCTGTATACTTTCAAGCGAGCTGTTTGCAGCTACCGTTTCTCTCCCTCTCTCTCTCTCTCTCTCTCTCTCTTTCTCTCTCTCTCTCTCTTCTCTTTCTCATTTTTCTTCATTTCTCTTCGCTTCTATCCTCCCTTCACGCAACCTCTCTTTCTTTCGCCTGAAGATTCTCTCCTTAAATGTGTAACGCTTAATTGGAAGGAGAACTCGGTCAAGATGCAGTCGGTCGTGCATGAGCGTGAGAAAAGAAAAGCGAAAGAAGGTGCTACTTTCTTTTTTGTTTCCGATGAATTTCCAATCGAAAGAAAGAAAAGAGAGCTTTTCTTTATCTGTTAGCTCTTTACCGCTTTACGAACACGCACAATTGGCTGCGCGCAGCCAGCCGGCAAAGATCAGTTGTGATCTTTGCCGGAAGGGATGGACGAGTTCGCGTGCGGGAAAAGAATATATTTTAAATCGGGTCGTACTCGCGATGACTTCACTGTCAGGCTAACAAATTAGAAATATCTAGCGACTAATAATGCTAACTTTCACAATCTGTAATTTTTGTAACGAGATCCCGTCGCCCTCATCTCACGACGAGAGTATCGAGAACGGAACAATTACATCGATCTTTCGAGCCAAACGTAAACATCGACGGAAAAGAAAATATGCTGCGTAAAGAAAAAAAATCTTTGCGAACTTCCTATAACATAATGCAATTATGGCGCGCACTGACACGATCGTGTCAGTCTCCAAAGCGGAGAAAGCGACTACATCGTGAAGCTACATCGCGGTCGTAATTCACGTTACCCGAGTCTTGCCGTGACTCGGTTAATGACACGGGCCCCTCTCCATACTCCTTCCAGCAATTAAGTTTCGTTTTTTTACGCGATCTCTTACAAACACGTGTTCTTTGACAAGTGGTACACTTTCACCTGGCTTGATAGACTCGGCGAGATAGATCTCGTGTATGTAAGACATGTAAGACAGTCTAGTTGTCGAGCGCGCGACACACATGACTTATCGTGCTGTATCGGCGCGGCAAGACGTCATGCGATATTCATTCTTTTAGCGCATCCATCAAATTTAATATATGTAATCTTGTCGCCCGGAGAGTGTTTCCTTTCCCAATTCTTTTGAAACAAGCGCGTAGACAGAAACGTCCGTTTTGTGCAAAATTAAATTTGTCGACAGTATGATGAACGTTTCAACGCGCGTGTAACGTTTGATTTTCAATCTCGATGCGAAAAATGTAACGCGAGCGTGAAATTTAATAATTAAATTTAAAGAAAAAATAAATATTACGTTATCGGTTAAATTTGACAAATCTAGAGTAGAAATAGAATAAGTCTGAAAGTTACCAGATTTATTTTAATTCCATCTATATCGCAGATTTAGATATTTGTAAATCCGAAATGCATATCTCTAAAGTGGAGCTTATTAATTATGTATCTATTCCATTTTTATTCTAAATTTCTGAATTATCTTGCATAATATAAATCACGCATGAGAAGTATCAAATTTTAAACGATCTTTGATCAAATATTGTGATATCGTTGATATCAATGATGGAAATATGCAAATTTTATTTTATTTTGGTCTTTTAATTTGGCCTTGTCTATCTCATCGCTTTCCAAATAAGAAGACGTTGCTAAAAGCGATACATACACATGCTGCGAAGATTGGAAAGACGCATTTAATATTCCGGGTGGGTTCCTGTCTTTCGTAGGTAGTGATATTATGTAAATTGAAACCGCTTGTGAAGTGTCGTTTATAGAGAGATTATAAAATTGCGTGATATCACTATCTGTGTGATACACTTGTAATGATTTACTTATTCGTAGTTTCACTAAAAATGAGAGAAAAAGCGCGTTATGTGTATATAAATATATGTATATGTGCGTGTAGGATGAAATACATTTCGTGCGTTTCTGAAAAGAGTCAACGTGAAAAGCGTACATCAGCAATGGGGAAGTGAATTAGAAAGAAGCGCGCGCACACGTAGCAGAACAATAGACAATAGACGGAACGAAAGAGTAGACGTAAGCGTAGATGCTCGCACATGCGCTCTCCTTTGACAGAGCTCTTGATATAATTACAAAATCTATTACAGTCTAATAGCAGAGCGCGACTGTTTACCGATCATTCTCGGAAAACGCTAGTCTAAACTGATACATGTGATAATAAATAGTCGAAACCGAATAACCAATGACACCTTTGTTTCAGGGATCAGAATGCGGTGGATTGGTTATGTGGCCACGATTCTCTGGTGGTCGGGCATCGCCAGGTCTCTCAGCACGCTGAATCGAGGTCACAGTCAGTAATATGTCTTTTGGTGATTTAAGCACGCTTCTTGTCGGTATCCACGGCATCTCTCTGTAGTCTTCTGTGTGTCTTCTCTTCTCTCGTCTCTTCTCTTCTCATTTTTTCCTGTATACTTTCAAGCGAGCTGTTTGCAGCTACCGTTTCTCTCCCTCTCTCTCTCTCTCTCTCTCTCTCTTTCTCTCTCTCTCTCTTCTCTTTCTCATTTTTCTTCATTTCTCTTCGCTTCTATCCTCCCTTCACGCAACCTCTCTTTCTTTCGCCTGAAGATTCTCTCCTTAAATGTGTAACGCTTAATTGGAAGGAGAACTCGGTCAAGATGCAGTCGGTCGTGCATGAGCGTGAGAAAAGAAAAGCGAAAGAAGGTGCTACTTTCTTTTTTGTTTCCGATGAATTTCCAATCGAAAGAAAGAAAAGAGAGCTTTTCTTTATCTGTTAGCTCTTTACCGCTTTACGAACACGCACAATTGGCTGCGCGCAGCCAGCCGGCAAAGATCAGTTGTGATCTTTGCCGGAAGGGATGGACGAGTTCGCGTGCGGGAAAAGAATATATTTTAAATCGGGTCGTACTCGCGATGACTTCACTGTCAGGCTAACAAATTAGAAATATCTAGCGACTAATAATGCTAACTTTCACAATCTGTAATTTTTGTAACGAGATCCCGTCGCCCTCATCTCACGACGAGAGTATCGAGAACGGAACAATTACATCGATCTTTCGAGCCAAACGTAAACATCGACGGAAAAGAAAATATGCTGCGTAAAGAAAAAAAATCTTTGCGAACTTCCTATAACATAATGCAATTATGGCGCGCACTGACACGATCGTGTCAGTCTCCAAAGCGGAGAAAGCGACTACATCGTGAAGCTACATCGCGGTCGTAATTCACGTTACCCGAGTCTTGCCGTGACTCGGTTAATGACACGGGCCCCTCTCCATACTCCTTCCAGCAATTAAGTTTCGTTTTTTTACGCGATCTCTTACAAACACGTGTTCTTTGACAAGTGGTACACTTTCACCTGGCTTGATAGACTCGGCGAGATAGATCTCGTGTATGTAAGACATGTAAGACAGTCTAGTTGTCGAGCGCGCGACACACATGACTTATCGTGCTGTATCGGCGCGGCAAGACGTCATGCGATATTCATTCTTTTAGCGCATCCATCAAATTTAATATATGTAATCTTGTCGCCCGGAGAGTGTTTCCTTTCCCAATTCTTTTGAAACAAGCGCGTAGACAGAAACGTCCGTTTTGTGCAAAATTAAATTTGTCGACAGTATGATGAACGTTTCAACGCGCGTGTAACGTTTGATTTTCAATCTCGATGCGAAAAATGTAACGCGAGCGTGAGAATAAGGAGTCACAGACTTATTTCACAATATACAGCATAGATATTTCTAGTTCGGCTCTAAAAAAAACACCGCGGTTTTCAAGATTCTCTCTCTCTCTCTCTTTTTCTCTGTCTCTCTCTATCGGTTGTTGGAAATATGGAACAATTAAAGAATAGCATGATCTCGTGCATTTTATGTGCAGGTTACAAGATCAGTCCGAAGCCCTGTAAAGTGCCCGGTTCCGAGAGCAAGGAAGGCACGTGTATGTTCGTGTGGGAGTGCATCAAATCCGAGGGGACGCACGTGGGCGTGTGCGTGGACACGTTCATGTTCGGCAGTTGTTGCGTCCACAACACGACGGTAAACACGATAAGCGCGTCTCACCATTCTCATCGGCAGCAGCAACAGCAACAGCACGGCGATACGACTACGGGTACACTCAGGCCGATTCTGTTCGGCTCGGCGGTGTCAAACGAGACCACTAGACTGACCACGTCGACCTCCTCTCTCTCGAGTTGGAGCATAGGGTCGAGCACCACGAAACCGAATCTTCATCAGCTTTCGGGGTTTCACGGCTCGACCAGACCGTTAAAACCGTACCCGCATGGTGCCGCGAGACCCCTGCAGAAAAGGCCGCACGCGAAACCGACGTCCGAGTACGACGTTGACAGGTTGCAGACCCCCGCGGTATCTGTCTCCGCGTCCTCTCTGAACACGTGGACGGAAGATAGGCCGCAGGAAACGAAAAGACCCGGAGGTCATCACTCTCATCATCAGAAGACGAGACCAGACGAGGAAGCGACGAGCGAGAAACCTTTGTTCGTCCAAAGTCAACCGGACTTCAAGGACAAATTGGAGACCCATAACACGCTAATAGTACGTTTACCGGGAAAGGAGCACGCGGACAACGAGGTTGCTGGCTCGAGCAAGCCGGCCAAACCGGGTAAACCGAACAACCTGAGGCCGTTTGAGTCGAGACCGGACGACGGGAAGACCGGCGACGTCGATCTCAGCGTGCAGGAGACGATAAATCGGCCGAATGTCAATTCCGTCATTGAAAACGTAAGAACTCTTTCACTTTGAACTCGTTAATTATCGAAATAATTTAAAAATTATTTTTTTAATGATACATATGTTAATATTTGTTATAACTTTCTCCATATCGTCAAAGCTCACTTTTCTTGGAACAATTGTATTCGTTTAATTTTCCAAAGATAATTTTAATTTTGGTTGATTTTAGTTAATCCTGGCTAAAAAATATTTATATAAAAATAGAAGTAATCGAAATCATAGATATCTTGTCTAGGTCTTATGTTGGCAAACGATTCTCTTTCTTTATTTATTTTGCGCAAATCGATTAAAGATACTAAAAAGGTAATGGTTGATACAATATTCCTTCAATACTGCAAAGTATCGTGATTAACAGCGATCTATTCTTCGCGCGATGAAAGCATCATCAAGTTTAATAGAATATTGTTTTTAGCAGGAAACAGCGAAAGAGCCCCATCCGAATTTGAATTTCATACACATTGAACGACCGCATTGGGCAACCAAGCCAGCACAATCGAAACCATCATCGACGGATTTCCCGAAGCCGTTCTTCTCGGTCAAAACAACTACCTATCGACCGATCTCGATAAGTGGTCAGGCAGATCAAAGACCGAATTTTATCTCAAAACCGAATATCTGGACTCTGTCCATGAAAACATCGACGACAACGACCACCAAGCCGACTTACGTCAAGCAGCCTTCCACCAGGTATGCGACTTGTCTTCAAGTCGTCAGAGACAGTATTATTCTGTATTGCAAAAGAATTTGTAAAAAAAAGAAAGGAATTATTCCAACATTGCTCTGGAATCGTATACTTTGTCACTGGAAGTGGTATAAAGTGAGGTCTGAATAGCTCAGTGGTAAAAGCAGTTGCCCGGAAAGCGAAAGACTCGGGTTTCATTACCAATTCAGCCATTCATACCTCGCATATTTTTTCTAGTCCACAAATATTATTTTTTAGCAATTATTTGTCGAGTTGGAAAAGTGTGTAAATGTCCTACACGTCTCTCTGCCACTGATAGATGATTGCTACAGCGTGTTTGGGCACATACCTAATATCACCCTCCATTATATACATTCCTATTTATTACTTCGCGTGAATTACATATCGGACATAACGTAAAATTTGTTTTTTATTCTAGCGCAGCCGGATCCATACCACAAACTTCTCATTGGCAAGTAACTACAGAACCGGTCTTCGTCACAAAACAGAAACCATCGTCGCTGTCACCGTCATCCCCGTCGTCGTTCTCGTCAACTTCATCATTTTCATCATCCTCGTTTCCGTCGTCATTGTCATCATCGTCATCATCACCCAAACCAATGACCGCGATTACTGTATCGGAGACTGTACGAATACCATCTTTAAGTACGAATTTTCATTTCTGGTCAAACAGCTGGACGCCACCTAGGCCGTCCTTGAAACCGCACTGGACGGACAGTCCTGCTCTCCTTCAGAACGGACCGGAAAGCTTTCCATCGCGACCGAGCTTTAAGCCGACTGAGTCGCAACAAGTACGTCCAAGTATTTTCTCTCTTTGATAGATATTGATTGTCGCTCGATATTAACGTTACTCAATATCCCAATAGTCTTTTTATACGTTTGGCATTTAATCGCAAGAATTTATTTATATTTTAAACATCTGTACTGAAATTTTGAATAATTATATATTAATAATCTTATCAACATAATATTGTATTTATAATCGAGAAATTTATCGCCATGCAAGGTATTTATATGTACTATGCATTTTGCGTAGAGCGCCGAATATCAGAAGCCTCTAGGTTCGGCGCACTACATAACGACGTCTCACTTGGAAACATCGACTAGGCCACGACCAACGAAGAAAACCACAATGCTGAACACAACGTCGCCAACTACATTGATGTCCTCGACAACCATCCACACTACAATTAACCCGACGACCACGATGACGACAGTAACGATCGCGGAGAGTAGCACAGTCAGTGCTAGCACCATGAATGCCGTCATGACGCAAGGATCGACTGATCGCGAGGGAGCAACGGTGGCGAGCGAGAAGGGAACGGGTTCGGTGATGACGGTCGCAGCCGCTGACGAGAGCAAAAACATGCAGTGCGGAATACCGCCGTTATTCCCACGACCAGAGACACGGATTGTCGGCGGCAAGGACGCGCCATTCGGCCGATGGCCCTGGCAAGTGTCCGTGCGTAGGACGTCTTTTTTCGGCTTCTCGAGCACTCACCGGTGCGGCGGTGCGGTGCTCAACGAGAATTGGATTGCCACCGCGGGTCATTGCGTCGACGAGTAAGTAGTCACCGTTTCTCTTTCGTAAGATATTATTGTCGATGCTACTTGATTGTCGACTTTTAGTTTGCTGACATCGCAAATACGGATACGAGTCGGCGAGTATGACTTTTCGTCGGTCCAAGAGCGGCTGCCCTATGTGGAACGTGGCGTCGCCAAGAAAGTTGTGCATCCCAAGTACAACTTTTTCACATACGAATATGATCTGGCACTGGTGCGACTCGAAAGCTCCTTGACGTTTGCGGCGCACATCTCGCCCATTTGTCTGCCAGCCACGGACGATCTCCTGATCGGGGAGAACGCAACGGTGACGGGTTGGGGAAGATTGAGCGAAGGTGGAACACTACCCTCAGTGTTACAAGAGGTAATTTTCAGAGTTGAATAATCTCTTTCAGCCATAGTCCTATTCACTACTCAGATTTTTACTATTTTTTTTAAGGTTTCCGTGCCGATAGTAAGTAACGATAGGTGCAAATCAATGTTTTTAAGAGCCGGCAGGCACGAGTTCATACCAGACATCTTCCTCTGCGCCGGTTACGAAACTGGCGGGCAAGATTCGTGTCAGGTATGCTCAATTGTAAATTACACTTAATTCAGATATGATGCGATAGAAATATTTTATTGTTCTTTCATTACACGCAGGGTGACTCCGGAGGCCCTCTTCAAGTACGCGGAAAAGACGGCAGGTACTTTCTGGCCGGTATTATATCGTGGGGGATCGGATGCGCGGAAGCCAATTTACCGGGCGTCTGTACGCGAATCTCCAAATTCGTACCGTGGATTTTAAAGAACGTCACCTGATCTACTCTACGATAAACGCGACTATGATAGACGTACGAATGACAGGAGAAAACTTGGCGAAATCCGATGCGCGAATAAGCGATTTGCAATATTGCTTCGCACGATATCAAGAAACCAAGTCGGTCATTTTAGATTTTAGATTCCTCTCGCAAATGAGAACATGTCTTCTATCATTTGCATTTATTTATTTGTATTTACACTGCCGCTCACGAAATAACATAATCTGTGGTGTTGCTACATACAAAAAATATACTCACAAGAAGTGGAATATCGAATCATCGGATATACGTACTAGCGACATATGCAAAACAATCGTGCATTATAGCAGTATACACCGAGAACTTGTATTTATATATAAATCTAAGAGTAAGGAAATAATATATATTTTCTAGGTTAAAGCTACAGTTAAATAACCGAGGGAAGTCTGTAATAAAGAGGTCAAAGAAGTATTGTCTGATAGAGACTAAAGAGAACGTCGTTATCATTCTTGCCACTTTGCTACGAAAAATGGATATAATACGACATTTGGGAAAAGAGTTGTGATTTTTCGAAAATATTTTATATATATGCACCAACTATAAATTTATTATAATATAAAAACTATCTATTTTATTGTTGGAAAATTAGTTTTAATTAATAAATCCAGGTACCCGGATTCCACAAATTAGATAAATTCAGCTTAAGGACAAGTTACATCAGTAGTAAATCATGTGCAAAATGCGAATTTTTATAATTATCACAATTTTAATATTTTCATAGTTTTTTTTACAGCAAATGTGTATCATAAATGTGCTTGTGTCGATTAGCAAGACATATAAGATATCGCCCTTCCATTCAAAGGCTCGAGATAACTCGGAACGTTCTTCCAAATGCTCAATTGCACATTTTGAATTATACTGCCTCTCTTTCTTATCTTTATACTTCTTTATTTACTAATAGGAATCTGTACAGAGATCTGCACAATGTTAATTGCGTGTACTTGGTAATAGTTGTATGCGAGCTGGAGAAGGTGAAGTCTATACATTATAAGATATAGCTATTTATAAGTATCGCCAAATAAACGAGTGTTTATTTTAAAATCTTAGAATATATCGTAAATTATACATGTCTACAGTATTCTGGAATTAAGCGGATCGTCCACTCGACCGGCAATTAGACTCACCGAAGTCTCGGTGTCGACGATGAAATAAAGGAATGGATGCAAAGCTGTAAAAGGTACAGGTCCGGCTCTCTCGAACAGACCGTTACCTAAAAGAAAATTATAAACTTATTATTATTAAATAAACTTGCAAAACGCTATTTTTTAATCATAGATAATATTAGTAATATTTTCTAAAATATGTATCTTATGTTTCACATATCACAAAAGATAAAGTAATGAATTATGCGCATTTCAGAATAGAATTAACACAAATTTAACGGAGTGAAACTTTTGCGAAGAAATACTTTTAAAAAAATCTGTGATTTATAGAATTTGTACAATTTTCTTTACAATTTTTTGATAGAAATAATGCAATATTTTGGCCACGCATAGTACAAAGCTTATTGTTTGTGCTACTTTACGCAGTGCAAAGGAGAATCGTGTTTAAATTGAAAGGAATATGCAGAATCTAAATCGATGAAAAATTTTATATAAAAATATGTATAGAGAGAGAAAAAAAAGAGCGAGAGATTTAATATGAGTGCGAATTTGCAAGAGACTAAAATCTCGCTTCTTATTTTTTCTATAAATCAGGAGAAAAGAAGCTGAAAATTATGCAAATTAAAAACTTGTACATTGCTTCCTTATCATTTTATTTCGCTCACAAAGCTTCAGCTCCTTAAAGCAAGCGAGTTTTTTAATTTTGGCTTCCTCATAGAGAAATCTTAAAATTTGCGAAAGTTAGGATGTGTACAGACATATCTCAAAAAATTCAAAATTTTATAAAAAATAAATTCTTTCACCGATCTTCACTAAATTCAATACCAGCCATCCTTTAATAATATTCTATTCACGTAAAAAAACTTAACCCGTTATTTCAAAATTTGCGAAACTTAGAGCGTGTACAGACATTTCTCAAAAAATTCAATATTTTATAAAAAATGAACCCTTTCAACGATCCTCACCAAATTCAATACCAACCATTCATTAATAATACTTTATCCATATAAAAAAATTTAACCCAATATTTAAAAATTTGCGAAAGTTACAATGTGTACAGACATTTCTCAAAATATTCAAAATTTTATAAAAATTGAACTTTTTCACCGATCTTCACCAAATTCAATACTAACCATCTTTTATTAATATTCTATCCATATAAAAAATTAAATCCGATATCTCAAAAATTGCGGAAATTATAGGTTGTACAAATATTGCGTACATACACATACATACATACATACATACATACATACATACATACATACATACATACATACATACATACATACATACATACATACATACATACATACATACATACATACATACATACATACATACATACATACATACATACATACATACATACATACATACATACATACATACATACATACATACATACATACATACATACATACATACATACATACATACATACATACATACATACATACATATATACATACATTTCTTAAGAATATGATTTTTCGACGTTTTTGAATTTTAAACACATTGTATAAAAAACTTGAAAAAAATTTTGTCATGAAAACAAAGCTTCCTCTATGAGGAATATATTGTTATAATCTTTTTACGGTTACAAATCCCTGAATAATTTTCAGAACCTATAGTTTTACATTTAAAGAATAATAAATAAGAAATGTTTAGAGACAAAATAATCCTCTCTGTCTAAACATTTTTTATCATATCATTATCATACTTCATTTATAGTTAAAAAAATATATATACAGGGTGTCCTAGACCACCCGTACACCCCTTTTCCCCTCGAAGTCAAAAAATTTTTGTATGAAATATTTTTCTCTATATTTTCTCGACCGTTCCCTGCAAAGTTACGAGGGGTGATAGATTAAAATGAGACACCCTGTATAAGGTAGATGAAATGAACAATTTCGTAAAAACGTTTATAATGATAGAACAATTCAAAAATCCTCGGTGAATGTAAAAAGAGATGATGCAAGATTTTTTTTTATTAACTTTCATTGCGGCCTCAAGCCAGGATATCAGCAATTAAAATTGCGAGAACTGAACAACAATACTGAGAATATCTCTAATAGTAATCGATAATTTTATTCACAGTGGCGAGAAAATAGATGTTGCCTAACTACGTGTCCTCGAGACTCGCGTCCTCGCGAATAGAGCGCATTTGCATTTCACGAAGTTATATAAACGCATCAATTTCTGATAATTTACTTCACAAAAATTAAAAAAGATATTTTTATAGAAGAGCATCTGGCTAAACTATCAATTTCTTTTTTTCCCGAAGCAGAGACTATGAAATTGCAATCATTTTTAATTTTAATTTTATGACATTTTGAAGAGATAATGATCCATGCTCGGCATAATTATCACGAGACTTGATTAGCTTAATTGCTTGATTCTACATTTGTCCTCGGCAGTTTCACAATCTTAAATAAGACTCGGAAGCCCGTTTCCATATAATTTTGGCAACGCAAGTAGTCTCGACATTTCGAAGCATGGAAGCGGTTGTTAGGAATAAACAGCGTTAAGTAATGAAGATTTAGCAGAGCGTAAGAAGAAACAGCGAGTGGAAGCGAAAGGGGGAGAGAGAGAGGGGGAGGGGAGGAGAGAGAGAGAGAGAGGAGAGGAGAGAAAGAGAGAAAGAAAGAAACCAAGCATCTAGTAGTAATGGCCTGTCATCGAATGCGTGTTCACGACGCGTTAAGGAATATATTGTCGTCGCTCCATCGTTTACAAATTATGCGCACATTTCTGGGGTGCATTCGAACCGCGTGGCGAATCTTTGCAATTTTACCCGTTAATACCGGATATTACGTCAACGTGATTACCTCTTTGAACATTATTATCTCTGATGCCGCTTGAGAGTCGAGACAAATCGCTATTCGTGTCCGCTGTTGGTTCCAACAACTTAAATCACCTGTACGTGTTTAACATCCGGTCAATTGTCTGCATCCGAGACAGAACTAATTTTTCTAATGTTAGAGATAAATTAATATTATCGCGGTTCGTGCAATTGTACAATCACATAAAAGTTGAATCCGGATTGCGATGATAGTATCGATGTAAAGTAAAGTCAGAATTTGCGGATCGAAGTAATAATGAATAATAAATAATCGCAAATAATAAAAAACTCAATAATATAAAAACTCGAGAAATTATTAAACTGTCGAAAATATAAACTTAATTAATGAAAATGGATTCGCAGTTATCATTTGTCATCACATTTACAAGCGAGAAAAAGTACAACATGTAATTAAGAAATATATAAGAACGCATTATAGAAAAAGAAAAGGAAAGATGATGCTAAAAGGATTATACGCGCAAAATTATATAAATTGGACTCTTAAATTCAGGACGTGAGCATTAAGGAAAAGAAGGATATGATTACATTATGTTTGTGAAAATATTTACCGTTACCGGGTTAATTGAAAGGAGGTGGTGTGCGCGACAGTGCATGAAAAGCAAGAGTAAGAGAGAACCTGGAGGCAGATATCGGTAATAGTCCCTTCGAGGTGGAACGACATTAGACGACTCACGAGAATGGGTACGGTCGGGTCTCATGTAATTCCTTATATTGATCCCTATACTCTGTTGCACGTCTCGGGCGTATACACCAAGATCGGATGTCATGGGCGAGAGATCGGCCAATCTAGGCTCGAACACGTCCACGATTCCCAACTACAAAGGAGAAACATAAATGTAGAAAGCTCATCGTAAAAAGTCCTTTTTCGATACGGATTCATTGAGAAAATATTTTGAAAATGAACGAGCGAACGCGCAAAAATAAAATTTAAAAAATTATAATTATATACGTATATATGCTTAACATTATAAAATTGTTTTACACCTTTTTATGATTCCTTATGAATAATTGTTGATCAAATGTTGGGATAAGAGCCTTTGAAAATGGATGAAAACACCGTAGGAATTGCAGAAAACTAGATGTGATTTTGCTACGCGCAATCAGCTGATTGTAATTTTTGCTTTTATTTGATATCGACATCGAAGAGTATGACATATTATTCCGCTTACCCTTTGCAGAAATGACGTCAGTGTGACGAAACCGCGTAGCATGAACGAAGGTATCGTGGCCCTGACCCAAGTAGGCTGTAATCGCTTCCTCAACGATCTCAATGACTTTGCGCTAAGATCTCTCGCCAGACGATGCGTGTCCGTTTTATCCGTCGGCATGAGAAGAATTATATTGTACCGGGGATCCTCCAAAATATTAAGAGAACAAGATTTATTATATTACACGCCTATACTTGCACGAGATAAATTCGGGAACAGCTTATATTTAATTTCTAAAGATAAGTTGCGGTTAGAGAGAGAGCGACGCTCTGTCTATGCAGTACAAAAGTAATAATTTGAGCTATGAATTATGATTAGAATCGTGGAGAAAAAGTGTTTATATATTCAAGAAAAATTCGAAATTAATAGTTAAAAAAATTATATATAAGTTGAACGATTTTTTTCAAATTCTAAATAAAATAGAGTAGATGAACTGGATTTTCATTTAGACTTACGTCTAGAGGAAATTCGAGCGCGACAGCGTGCAACGATGGGAAGTACGCGAAAGGCAGCACGGCGATGTATCTCGAGGCCGATACTGAGGAAACATCGCAACCGTTCACCAGAAACGATATCTCCGCTGTAGAATCTTCGACGTGAGATTCGCTCGGGTTTACCGTGCTGTACGATTTCCAAATCTCCAAGTCTTGCATCCAGATACCTTCGTCTAAAAGATAACAGTTCTAATTCCAAATCGGAGAACACAAAAGGGAAGAGTTTTTATCCCAAATGTTATATTCCCATAAATGCAATAAATACTTTATGTAATTTTTATTATAATTTTATGATTTTTTCTGCTGGAGCGTAAAAAGTTCATGTATTCCGGGATCACATAATTTAATTAATAATTTAGTCGCGATTAATACACGCGATAATCGAAGATGATGCTCGAATGTACCTGGATAGCTGGAGAAGTATCCACGTGGACTCCTCGCTCTGCGTTCGCGTAGATTGGGCGATGTCGACTCATTTTTAACGGTACCATCGTTCATTACAACTTTCAAATCTGACTCCGATCCTTTCTTCTTTCGATCCATCGATACAACATTCCCATTCGTCGATGCAATCGCCTGATTATCCATGAAACCGGCGAATGCGGAGTCATTCGAATTTCCGACGAGATTGGTCGGAGTCGTCGTATTTGTCGCTCGGATAGATGATATTGTTGTTATTGTAGCGGACGCAGTAGCGTCGTCATTAATATTGATGATTGCCGTCATTGCGAGATCACGTATAGGAGCAATTATCTCTGGAGTAGTATTTCTGGCTGGAAGAGCGTCCACCGATGTCCTACTCGATTGCAAAAAAACACTGTTATCCGTCATAGTTTCGATAACGGGACTTGGAGTAGCTAAGTTTGTAGTGCTGGTTAAAGATGTCGATATCGCGGGAATTAACGAATTCGAGGTAACGGTATTCGCATCGGTGACAGACATGTTAACGGGCGTCACATTGACAATAATCGCGGCGATCGTAGTCGGCGAAATATTTATCGGTATCTCGTCACCCATCGCACTGGCATTAGCCGCCGTTATCGTATCTAGGCTATGCGGTACTTGAATATTCGCATTAGAATTTGCATTTTCTACATTCTCCATAGCGGCATTAGGAACGATGATATTTGCGACGGTTTTGTCTGTTCCAGCATCCTCGGCAGCGATTGTCGAAGTAGCCTGCGGACTCTGATCGCCTGCGACAAGAACCGTGGTCAGATTCGTTTGGCTATCCGCAATGACTGTTGTTGATGCTGGCTGGATACCTTTGCCGAAAGTAACCGCAGGTAAGGAATTTACTGTCGACGACGTACTTAGAACAGCTGACTCGGAACTCGCGACTGTAATCGATTGCACATCGATTGCATCCATCGTGACGCTTTGTTGAGTAATGTCTACTGTGGTAGCTGAAGCAATCGTTGTTTCCGAAGGAAGCGTTGTAATGGTTAACGTTATCATCGTCGTGTCCGGCTCATTCGCAGTATCTATCGTCTCTATCGGGATCGTTGAACTGGCAGTGGACATTGGAAGTTTGGTTGTATCCGAAGGATCTCCCGTATTGACGGTAACGTTCGCTTCTTGCTCGATACTCGACAGATCGAAACCATAAAATCTCAAAATGTCTTCGTATTCGGGACGAAGTCTAGTGTTCTCCCTGCTCAGCGTCAACCCGCCCAGGAAGCCATCGGCATTGAGGTAATTCTTGAAATCAGTAAAATTTTATAAATAAGTGAAACTATTCGCTCTAATCAAACTTTTACACCAATTATCAGCTTTATTTTTCTATTTAATCCATCTCATATCTATAATATTAAGCAAAATATCAAAGGATAAAAAAGAATCCGAGAGATGTGTAAGAAATTGAAGCGCCTTTCGGACGATATTTCTTTAGACATTTGCATCGCTCTTGTGGGATCTTACTCTTAATCGTCGGTGAATATCTCTGAGACCGATCCTGGTAACATCCCTGGATGGCAATCCTATGGCTTCAGCAATCTGTTGATATCCCCTACCGGTGGATCCTTCATAGAGCGCCACCAATACGAAGGCAACCCCCGTAGGCGAGAACGCCACGTTTCCGTGCGCCGCGTATTGCTGAAGAATTTTCAACCCAAGATCGTTGACGACGTCGGTGATCACGTCGACCGGACGCTGCGTGTCCGCACGATACCAAGGATCGTACCTATAAGCGTACGCGAACGACACTGCTACAACATAACAACACAGTCGGAAAATTTAGAATTTATATAATTATAATATAATTGTGTAATTATATATTATATATATATTTTTAATTTTATTAATTAGATATATAATATATTTTATATATTATATATCTC